TGTAAAAGACAAACAGTGAAGATGATTTTTAAAAAAAATTAAAATTAAACGAATATTCGACTATCGTTCGACTAAAGCATCCGACTATTCGAGTAAACTGCCCGAGTAAAATTGACATCCCTACTTTTAATTAAAACACATGTCTGTGTAACATATCTATTCAATTTCTAATTGTTTTAGAACACGTTTTTTAGTATGACCCTTCCATATACTGGAATATGGCAGATTCTATGATTTTCTGTACTTGTTTTTTTCTTTCTGAAAGATGTTTTTTCAAGTTTGGTAAATGGAACAAGTCAGATTTTAAAATATCGGGCGAATATTGTTGGTATGACAAAATAATAACTTTCTGTTTATCCCCAAAACTCCTTTACTCTTCATGGCCTATGGGTTTGGACGCTGTCATGAAGAAATTTAATGTAGTGAATTCCTCATTCTGGTTCCTTCCTCTCATAAACCTTTCAAATTTTTTTGCAAAAAGTTTGCTTTCTAGACTCCTCCAGAAATTGAACTTCCTCCCCGAATAAAAGTTTGAACAACAAGACCACAAATATTTAAGAAAATAGCATATAAAACTGTTTTTGTGCCCTTGCAATTTTTTGTTTCAAGTGCAATTTTATTAAAAAAATGTTTTGAGGGTTTAAAGCAAAATGGATTCAAGTTTCATAATCTGTTTGAATTTCAGACAAACGTGGATAAATACAATTTTTAATTTTTTTTAATGATTTTTTAGATATATTCCTACGCGCTGTAGTTTTCACCGATTTTTCAAAATATAGGGTGACCTTTGAGTATTAAACTTTTTTACTATCAAATGTAGCTGTAAAAAGTGTGAACTACTTCCAAAATGATGTCCATTAAATTTGCTATGAGACTTAAAGTCAATCAAACATAATAAGTGATAAATTGTTGAATTTTTGCAAATATACATTGGTTGTTGTATTTCATTGTCGGTAAGGTAACCATTGTTGATGCCCATTATATCATTTTTTGGTCGTTGAAATCCGCCTGCTCATGTGTGCATTAAATAGACATTAGTTGCTGTAAATTTCACAAGAAAAATAAGTAACATATGGTGCCTGTGTCCTTTCCCTATATATTATGTCCTTCCAAAAAATGAAGTAGACGTGACTAACAGTTTGTTCAGAAATCGGAATAAATTAACTCGTAACACAGAAATATATACTGCTAAATTATTTCCAAAAACTATAAAAACAATAAAGTTACTGGTAATTTATTGTATTAATGATCAAAAAGCAACTAGAGGTACTGTGGTCACTGAGCTTACTAAATAATACCCCGCCTCTCATATGGTTATAACGGCAAAGTCCATGTTTTGCGCTAAGACCCGAAATAAGTGTCAGATCAAAATGTAAAATAGGAAACGCACATGGCATTGTGTAACGAAGAATCTACGAAAGTATCATTAAATTTTATTCAGTGGCATAGGAGAAGCTGCGAATAAGAGATGGGTACCCTTCAATACTATAGAAAAAATGGCAGTGTCAATGTTTTGCCAGGGGAAATGAGAAATTCGTTTTCGATCAAAAAGTAAATTGGAAGGTGCACAATGACACCATGTAACAAAGAATCTCTGAAAGTCGCATTTAATTTCATTCAGTGGTATATGAGGAGTTGTGGATAAGAGATGGGTACCCAGTATTATTCTTGGGAAGATTATTCTTCGAAGAGGAACAAGAACATAAACTCTTGTGAAGGGGCGGGAAAGGTGCTGCCAAATGTCAAGAGGAAAACGTACTACTTTCCTATACATTTAGGTTCATCTGGGATTAAAACGTACCCACTCCTCCTGAGGCTAGGTAAGGGCCACAATACAGGGCAAATATTTTTCTAGGGGAAAACCATGTAAATTTTTCTTCCAAACAACGAATCTCTGATGGATGGTGTGACCCTTGAGTTTTCTTTAATAATTTTTTTCTAAGGGGACAGACAAAAGGCATTTCCTGCTATGTAAATTTTAAAACACCGAGAATCCCAGAGGGAGAATAAAACCTCTCCTACCTCTCTCTCAGCAGCAATGACTGATTCATTTTTTAAACGTTTGAAAGCTTAATGTTCGAATATGAAAAAAGTGTTTAAAGTCAACTGTTTCATGACAATCTTTGTAATGCATACGTGGTGATCGATAAGATATCAAAGCACTTTAACTCTTTTTATATGAATAATTGAACGAAAGATATAAATGAAAACAATAAAAGTGTCTATTATGTTATACGGGATATAACGGTTGCAATCATTAAAAATGTTTGGGTTTTTTATATAAACCGTTAAAACACTTTATATTTTACAGGGTTGCAAGTGCAAACGCAAGATAGACAGATATTGTAGTTTAATGAAAACAATTTTCAATATTTTTCTTTCATAGATCTTTTTAGCTCACCCGAATATTTCGGATTGATGACAGTCTGGTGTCTGACTATATGACATGTGGTCTGCAATGTTTTCACAATGTTTATATACCCAACTTGAGAGGTGGGAGGGTATATAGTTATCGGGATGTCCGTCCGTCTGTACGTCCGTCTGTTACGCTTTGGCGTGCTCATCTCTTATCCGCAGCTCATCTTATAACACAATTTAATTATAATGAAACTTTAACAGAATCAATGTTATATATTGCCATTGTGCACCTCATATTTTACTTTTTGATCGGACACATATTTCAGGTTTTCCTTAGTAAAACATCAACACTGCCATTCTTTCTGTAATGTTGAAGGGTGCCAATCTCTTATCCGCAACTCCTCCTATACCATTGAATAAATTTTAATGATGCTTTCACGGATTCTTTATCCAATGTTCACCTCCTACTTTATTTTTTGATCTGACATTTATCCCCCCCCCCCCCCCGAGCAAAACATGGACTTTGACACTACAATCATAATATGGGAGGCGGGAGTATCATTTAGTGAGCTCACAGTACCTCTAGTATTTTCTGCATAAGGGGTTTATATATCTCAGTTGCTTCGATATGAAAGAGCATGCTCTTGTATGAACAATATCTAAACGAGGTACTTGTGAGTTATTGACAAACTAGTTGATGAAACAAGAATATCAACTGTCTCGTTTAAAATCAGTATTTTCCCATCATATTTCGATCATGACAACGAGCACACGGCGGGTGTGACCGGTCGGCAGGGGATGCTCACTCCTCCATGGCGCCGGATCCCACCATTGATGTTTTAGAGGTCCGTGTTTTCTCTGCTCCTGATTTGCATGGTTTGAATTGACTTTTTAGCTTGAATACTGTTCGTTATCTCTGTTGCTATCTCCGTAAGAAATTATTTAATTCAAGGACCAATTTCAACCAAACTTTGCAAAAAGCATGCTTGAGTAATTTTCAAATGAAAAACAAGACCACTATCAAGGGGAGAAAATAAATAGTAAAAATTTAGTAACATCTTTTGGAAACTTTCCTTAACTTTTGAAAATCTTTCTAAAATCTTCTCTAGAAAAGAAACTCTGTTATGTTTTTTTTTTTAAAATTTAGTATTCATAACCTCTGTATAGTGAGGATTCAAACAGGTGAAAAATGTCCCTATATAGCTAAATGGGGATAATTTTTTTCATTGAGATATAGCGAAATAAATCTTGAAATCTGGGCAATGCAGCCCATAAGTCTCTAGTAAATGCGATCATTTTCATACCCCCGCTGGAAAAGTGGGAGGGTATATAGCGATCAAGATGACCATCTGTACGTCCGTCTGTTCAGCTTTGGGGTATACATCTCTTATCTCATCTTAAACCACTGAATGAAATTTGATGAGACTTTCATATAATCTTGTTACATACATGTAGTGCCATTGTGAACTTCCTATTTTCCTGTTTGATCGGACACATATTTTGGGTTTCCAACAGCAAAGCATGGGCACTGTCATTCTTTCTATAATATCGAAGGGTACCCTTCTCTTATCCTCAGCTTCTCCTATACTCTTCATGGAAATTAATGATTCTTTCACAGATTCTTTATTACATAATGCCATGGTGCACTTCCTATTTTTTTTTTGATCTGACAATTATATCAGGTCTTCCAGAGCAGAACTTAGAGACTTAAATTGCTATAAAAATCATATAAGAGGCGGGGTATCATTTAGTGAGGTCAGTGCTCACAGTACCTCTAGTTTTTCCTATTTCCTTTCCATTTAATAACCAGACAAGTAAAATAAATAATTAATTCAAGGTCAAGCCAATCTGAACCGGCTTGAGATTTTATTTTGTTCAGATAACAGAACAAGGTAAAAACAGGAAACCTAACATTAACCAGAGCTCATAGTACGGTATTGATATTTTGTGTGCATGTAAATTATAAATGAAAAGAATTGGGCTATAAAATAGGCATTGCAAAGGTAAAGAAATTCTCTTCTATTCACCCAGCTCCCAAGCATTTTCTTTACCTCAATGGTTTATTTGTAAGATAACAATGTTGGCAAATACGTTGAGTCCCCGTACTTTTTCTTTTTAGAAGCTTTTAAGTGTTTATTGATTTTCGGAGATAAAACTGCTTGATGAAAACTTTTGCTGTTAATATGTCTCAATTTATGGAAAACTTAAAATTGCTGATATAAGGAATGAAGAAAGTAAATTCTCTTTTTGCAAATGAATGGATTTGAAAATGTACGTGGAACCCAATTCAGTGGAATAAAAATTAAACCAATAATGTAAACAAATACTGTCTCAAAGTTCAATACGCAGTTTAGATATCTATATTGAAATGTCAATGCAACGTTTTAAAGAGACTCTGATCGAGGGCTGAATAAAAGAAACTTCTGAACCTTAAACGGCTTACTCGCGACTAACAGCGAATTGTAATTTAAGTAATTACAACTATATTTTAGGACATATATCGTATCGAATTACGGTAAGATATTTTGGTGCTCTTTTGTTAAATAAAATTCCCAAACACTGTATTTTTTTGCAACACTTTAAATGATTTTCCAAAAGAAGTATATTTAGACTTCTTTTTTGGTGACCGGATGTTGCTTTGCATGCGCGAAATATATGTGTCTATGAAACGAGTACCCGTAGCAACGGGACGCCATGTCGTTAGCAACTAATTGATTGCCTAGTCTGGTTGAAGGAAAGGTAAGACGAATTTTCTATGCAGTATCAATTTGCCATATCAGAATTTTTACTCTACCAATTATCAATAATAGGTTGCTCATGACTCCTACTTAATTAGCAAACGATGTCGGGGCAACATTAAAATCGGTAAATTGCTACAAATAAGCAGATTTTAATGATTGAGATTTAAAGGTCTCTTGGCATCAAGTATCACTTATGCTATATAATACAAAAGAAAAAATGAAATTTAAATGACAACGAAAATACGTTTTAATGAGGTTAGATAATCTAATACATTGATGATATAATGTCATTTGGGAAAGGAAAAGGAGACTAGAAAAAGGATTATGTTCAGTTTTACTCTATCTGTATTTGTTTTTTCTGGGGATGTTTCGGAAAAAAATATTACCTAATTATTATCCCTCGTATCTCGGAAAATTAAAGCAATGTATATGCTTCTTTTGCAGTAAACAGGTTTTAGCTCTAGTATCAAATGTACTGTATTTCTAAGTAACAAGGAGATCACAACCTCTAACTCAGCTTAATAAATAAAGTGCAATACATTATTCAATCTATTTCTAATTTTTCATCATGTTTGTAGTTTAAAATCGTACCCATTTGTACATGCTACTGAAATTATGCATACACCTTGTTGTTTATTTCAATGTTTGAGAACATTGTATGAATAAGGTGATTTTTGATAACTCTTCAATACAGCAATCAGACGGGGCTATTTCAATTATAAGAGGACACTTAAATCCATTTTAATCCTTTTGTTTAGTTGATCTTAAGAAGATAAGAGAATAGGATTAGTTAACAAATACACAACCTGGCACCTAAATGGATCCCTTGTATTCAGGGTTCTGGTTATATTATAGATTGACCACTTGCATTATGTAGACCCAGTCTGTCAACGGGCGTAATCCACTGTGGCTTAGACCATTCATGTAACAAATTAAACGATTTTGGCTATGTATTGGTCCGGCTTAATTTTGTCCTTATTCTTTGCTATGTTTACTCATTATTGATTTTACTGTATGCCTGTTTTTACACTCTTATGTCATTAAACTTCACTAAAGGCAAAAGTTTTATCTGGGCGTTAAAACATTATAAAAGTTGGCAAAATAGATATACATTCATGTAACAATGCAACTTTTGAATTGGTTTTGATAGATTGACAGCTAGAACTCTGGGGGGCAAAGAATTTTGTTTGAAGTTTTGACCAATATGCTTCAAAATCATTATATGTGTCCACTGTTAGTCTTGAGATATAAGACGTGTGTGCACTTAACCCCTTTATAATTTTTTATTAAATATTTTGTGTCCCAGCAGACGGAAGGTGTCGAGAGTGGACCACAAGTGCCATACACGTCATTCCGATATAACCATGTTCATAAAACCGTCAGGGTTCATAATCTTGCAATATTTATTTTGACTGTCTTCTTTGTGGGTACGCTATAAAGGCACACTTCAGTTTATCACCGAATGTCGTAAAATTGCTGTATTTTTTTCTATGACTTCTAACTTATCTATCCCTGCAGAATATTGAATGACTTACCTTAAATATGTGACCTTTTTGAAGGAATTAAACTTGATCTATGAGAAATTGATTAAAAGAATGTTTGCCTATTTATCTCAGGTTACGACCTGTTTCTGGTAATGGAAGTCACCGGAAATCAATGTTCTTTTTTACGAGACAAATTGCTATTGTTATGTCAAAAACCATCGTTATTCTTTTTCGTCTCAAATCGAATTTTCAATAGAAATCTCATCACTCAGACGACCACATGCTTAGTGAACATTTTGTTTCATATTTCAAGTAGTAATGGTTTATTTTTGAAATCTTCGGCAATTAAATAATTAGAAATGTCTTTGCAAAAATGATAAACAACATCATTAAATGCAATCTCAACCCTTGAGCATCGATAGAAAACGATCCTTTAATTTAAAGAACACTCCATTCCTCTACAGTTTTGTAAATAACCTAATGAGATATGCAACCGCTCTCTTTGCAAAGAGCTTCTTATACGACATGGTTCTTAATAAACACATTCTGTGCAACCCAGAAAAGATTAATGCTTGTAAATTTTATCTTGTCATCTGTAAAACGATTGTCTCGGCCGACTGGAGGACTCTAAGCTTCCTCCATTGAATTGCCACGTCACTGCCTCTGTATCGGTTTTGATCGCGCTGGCTTTGTGGGCAAATACATATACCTTTTGTTCATTTAGAATATATCCATGACCAGGTTCTGGATGCCTATATTTTCTGCATTGTTTTGCCATTTATAGGTTTAAAGTTATGCTCCGTCGTTTATACATTGTTTTGTGATCCGAGGTGCTTGTGTCATTGAAATGGTGTTGAAATCTCTAGAAGACATTCATGTTTTATATAAAGCACTTTAAAGCATAACAATGATGAAGGCTGGCTGTTGAAACCGTCATAAATCCACACCATTATCACTTTTCCTGACCACTTTACCTCACAATGGCTGTTTAAATACATAATCCATTAACATCTCATTCTAAATTGGTTGAAAACAGTTTTTCAAAATTACTTATCCGAGAACTTCGGCAAAATGAAAAAAAAACAATTGCATTGAAAAGTGGTGTTTTGATAATATTTTATATTTATTTATAAGTCTGAAAAATTATTTGCATAAATTTTATTCACAAATCAGGAAATTCTTTTTGTTACGTTATATGAAATCAGGATTTTAAATATCTGAGATGCTATACAGAATAACATAAATTGATTTCGAAAGTTTTTAGCGTTTAATTGTTTGCAAAATTGCATTCAACCGTTAAAAAAATTCTCTATCTGGAAAACTTTTAATATTTCAAAGAATGACAGCCCTCATTTCATAAAGCGTGATATATCAGCTTATAGCAATCGTCACCAAAGATAATTATTTACTTTACCTGAAGTTTTTTATTTAAAAAAAGACGTTCACTTTTTTTTCAGCAAGTTGTCCTCTGCAACATTTTCCATTCCATAAACATTATGTAATTAAGCAATCAAGGGATGCGCTGAAAAAGTAAATTTAAATACAATAGTCATTGCCAGAAATATAAAATCAAATTACAATGACACGTGATACCAATCCAACCAATAGTATCAATTACATTGTTCATTAAGACCAAGACAGTGTCTTTTACAGACAACATTTCATATCATTGCGATAGGTGTTTAAATGTCGAATGTACTTTTTTTAAATTGACAGGCAGAACGTATGGTTGTTTTTGTTCTGATAAGAATGGAATGGCATGAAATCTAACACACCAAGAAAGTTAGCCGCTTTGTTTCATTCGACTTAATTAATTACCTCCAGCTAGTGAAAGCTACCCGGGTTTTACTTGCATTTTCCTGCCTGTTTCCAAGCGACAGCGATAAGGTAGTTAAGGCGAAGAGAATTAACACCCGAAACCTGGACGGTTAATTTTAATATCGGAACAATAAGATTAATAGAAAAGATTAAATTTTTCAACAGGGTATATGAAAAAAAATTGTTACGCATTTAAATCTTTCTGCTAGGCCTTAGTAAATATGCATTTTTAATCCTTTAATGCACCTAACTGTTGTCAGAGTGCAGCGGGATTGTTCGTCAGTCGTCTAGTTGCACCTAGATACCTTAACAATAAAGACGTATATAGGTACCGTGCAGTTCATCCCTTTGTATACTCGGGTGAGTGATAGTAGACTGATATATCATTGATTTATAAGTGCCATATTCAATACCTGTGTTTACCGGTGATTCTATTGCACGGAATGTAAGTAGGTTATTTAAGCTGGTACTTCATATTCCAGGAGGGGATAGCACCTCGTTTGTGAAACCTTACGCGCTGTTGAGGAAAAAAATATTGAAAGTATTTTGATACTCCTCGTTTAATTTGGAAAGATGTCGTAATGATAACAATTTCACATCAATTTAAATATGTTAAATAAAAAAGAGTATATTGTTTCACCACCTCAAGTTGTATTTACTAATGACCGATTTTGTTCATGCTATCATTTTAACTGCTTAGATATTTCATATTTGATTTGTTGTTAGCCTATTCTATAGGAGAATTAGAGCATAAAGTAAGAACTAGTTCATCGTATAGGACATTTCGTGATTTATCTTTGAGGTAAAGATGATTCCTTTGTATGATTAATTAATGGGCCCTCTCTCCTGCTTCAAGTCTGACACCAAGAAATTTATCTTTATCTGAGGACTTCTTTGTAATGAAGACATTTTAATAACCAAGTAGGGGGTCCATCCATTTACTTTTATTATTTATTTGTGGGTACGACGAGGTGCGCCATATAATCTTTGCTTTATAACAGTTATCTGCACACATTGGACTACAAAGGATTAATTACACCAATCAATATTAAAAAAAAAAATGTCCCGGATTATTTTATGGCTGATCAGGGATTAATCGCAGTTAATAAAAGTCTGATCTTTTTTTCAATTTGAAAATGATCTACCGTTTAAAATTAAGGATTAAATATTGTTTTGAAGTAGGGATTTTTTTCCTTCAGAATAATTAACATAAGTTAGACAAGAATTTGTGCAGAAAATTGAACTTCAGTACTAAATGATAATGCACGTTTTTGGAGACTTGTGCTGTATTGTTTTCATTACATTTTGGCTTTAAAATGTTTTCACTTTTTCAGTCATCAAGTCATACAAGAAATCAATACAACAAATGTGCTTACACCTATTTTGTTAAATTTTCATGTCATTTCTATGAAGTTTCAAATTTTTTTTTTCGAAGTTCATAGTTTTATATTTCACCGACAAGAATTTTTTGGAAAAAAGTTCTCTTGATTTAACTCCCTACTTCATCTTCCTAGCCAACATTCATAAAGTTGATAAGAAATATGAAACCCGAAGACAAAATATCTGAATCGTCTTGATTTGCAAATGGATATTCTTTATTAAGATATGCTGGGTTAATAACTTTGGTTATGTTATTATCTTTGAGTAACGTATGATCCCATCCCTCTCTTACTACTAGTTTATGACACCCCTGCTTATGAGTTTTTTTCCTGTCAGTTGAGTAGGTGTCCCGTATTGATCCGCTAAAACCCCTTAGCGATACCCCATTACCGTACACACAGACGCCAATGATTATTTAACATGAATATTTGATCATTATATTGGTATCATACAAATGAAGCATTTCTAAACACGCATTAGCTACCTATGAAGAAGATACAAACAGTTGCCATATACGTCGTATCGTCAAGTTCTGGAATTTTAAGGATTTTTGAATTAACCGCCATGGACAACTTTATTTATACTGAAAGAATTTGTTTCTCGTATTCCTAACAAAAAACATACATCTGTACACCAAAGATTTGTCAGAGAATATCTCCTTAAGCTTTATCATTTCTTTTTAACCCACGTTAAGATTAAATAAGGATTAATAGTTTCTTTGATTAATATTTCATAAAGTTGTGCATTTTTTGTCTCGAGATCTAATTTAAAGGTGCTTTTCGTTCTCTATTATCATTGATTTGGAGGGCAATTCTTTTTTACGAATCTATATTTTTCTTATAAAAGAGGGGTAAAGAATATATGTATTTGTCACTTTCCATCCAGAGACTGTAAAAAAGTCATCAAATGAAAGAAGAAACTGTTTTAATGGTATAATAAGGCGTTGGGAGTTTGATTTATTTGATGTCAGTAGGTTTTTTACCCCTAAGAAATCTTAAAAATATTCACTATATTCTCAAACAAAATATTCTTTAACACTCTTGTGTATCAAAAGTAATGAACCATATTCATAATCAAAATTGAACTTGAGCAAACGCGAAATTCCTTAAAAGTATACCCTACATTATCCGAGAAAAGCCGCATTGATCGTTTGCTTATTTATTAATGGATTTATCCGATTAAACAGTGCTTATCCTGTTAAATTTGATATTGGCCCCACGTTAATTTTTAAAACTTCTACCTTTATCTTACATTATTAAATTTATTACATGATTTCACATCATTTTGGTGGTTGAAGACTGAATGTTGTTTAAAAATTCGGTAAAAATATTTGCTTGGTTTTCAGTGGCTTTTTGTTTTTTGTCAATAAAAAACTTGAATGAAAGATTGATAATGCTTCAATTTAAAGAGGCAGGTGTCCCAAAACGGATTATGTGCGGGTCAAAAGGTTGCACATGCATGTCTGTAGTTTGCTCGTTCGGATTAAACGTAACCAGGGACGCTATCAGAGAACTTGCTAGCGGTAATGTTCACATTCGGGGGAAAAACTAACTATTCACTTCATTTATAATTAACGACATAACAAAGTTTTACACGAATGAAATTCTTTCTCTTTCAGAATCCTTGTTCTGGAAATAAGCACGTGACAGGTTGCTAGGTGCATTTCTATGACAACGTATCTTCCCTGTTCCTGAAATAAATTTGTGTTTACAGTAGAATTCGTCATCGAGAACTTAGTTTCTTTATTTTAAATAATCAACCTTTGGATAACTTATCATCATGAGCAGGTAAGATCTCAATTTACTTATCAAGAATTGAATGTGGTTTGAAAAAGAAGTAAAATTTCTAAATGCTGTGCTATACAATGTACCAACATTTCAGTTGTGCTATGATGTACCTGTTTGTATGAAATAAAAGCTTTCAACACCATTTCTATTGCTTCTAAACATGAGGACAAGAATAAATTCTTCTCTTAACATTATATTAAACATTTTCTAATTTCAAAAATAACCATGTTATTCAGTACACAATTTTCCCCCTTCAGCCAAGCTTAGGTGAACAATGCACATTAACCCTTTTCATATTCAATTTTAGACTAAAACGATAACCTAAAATATCATTAAGCATTACATGCAATGCATTACCTGCCATTTAGATAACAAACTCTTTCAAAGTGGGTATTTGCATTACCTAAAGAAAATTATTGATAATTTTGTCCAGATTTTATAGCAATAATTTTAAAGATATTTAGTTTATTGAATTCATCTTAAACATACGATATCACTAATCCAAGGATTGATTTAAATTTTGTTTTATATAAAAGATAAAAACAAAATTGTTTTCTGTTTCTTTACACAAACTACTCTGTAAAGTTATCCCAAATGATCCTTCTCTTTTAGGTCTATGTTGTTAACTATTCATTATTACCAGTATTTAACATAGGACAATTCTTTTGTCTCAAGCTGTCATGTCATGCACAAGAACACTGATACTAGTATAGCAGTTGGAGTCTTTGTTTGATGAAAAATAAATCGGAGTTCGTGTTTGAAAATGTATGCTTTTATTCAAGATTGGGATACAACGACTACAACATCATGCGCTCACGAAGTGCCACACCCCTGACCCCTGAAATGTCCAAGATCCTCCCCTATGTCACCGATAAAACCATTTCCCGCCATCTAGGGTACGCTGGAAGATCTCTGGACATGGGGCATGCTAAAGCTTACTACAACCCTGCCAGGTATATCTTTTTCTGTATCAGTTCTATGTTTTCTGATCGAGGACAAAACTCTCCATTTAAGATACATAAAGAAGAGATGAAATTTTGATTGTGAATAAAAGGTTACAAACTGCATCATGCCACTGATTGCTCTTTTCACAATACGCATTAATATGAAAGGTTTATAACAAAAATGGGCTTTAGTTTTTGCCACACTCATTCGAATTCTTTTAGTGTTAAAGTGACATAATACCACTTTTTTTGTGAATTTTAGTAATTTTTAACATTATATCTACGATTTTTCTTTCTTACCAGAAATGCCGTATACTCCCGCTACTCCACCAATGACTGGGGCATGTCCAACAGCATGAACTTTTCCCTGTCAGACAAGGAGAGATCCTTCGCCGAGAGACTGAGGGCCGACGCCTGGAGAGCCGTCAAAGAAACAGATGCCAGGACCCGCAACAGACAGAACGATATCACCAAGAAACTAGGTAAGAGAAACATAGAGGTAGATATAGCTGACAACTTTGTCTACAGCAATGGTTTAAAAGATATTTAAAGACTGCTATATCCTAACATAGAAAATAAACTCGACGATTAAATGTATATATCTCTAGAATTATATGCATGGACAGTTAATTGTATGCAAAGAGAGAAAAAGTAGATTTAACATTAAAAAGTAAATTCGAATAGTTTCTTTATATTCTCTTTCATCTTATATGTTCGAAAAGAATAATGACAGATATTTCATTTTTTCTTTTCTTTTTTCGTTTCTTCTCTTACTCTGAAATTGAATAGGTGAACGTGTCAGCGACATAGCGTTTTGGAAGAGTGAATTAAATACTGAAATTAGTCAATTGGCCACGGAGAGTCAAAATTTAGAGGTATCAATGTAGACGGGTCTACGGTTGCATGATGGGTAGCCCGTTCTTCTTTCCTTTGATTGCTGCTTCCTCCAACATGGTGGATGTGTAGAAAACTGGTCTATTGTCGCAAATTTGAATTTCAGTATCTTTTACATTTTTGAAATGTAAAGGAAATGAATTCAAGTGTCGCAAACGACCGTTTTAATGAGCATAAATATTTCAAAATGTATGCAGAGTTTCTCAACCGTTGTCATTATTGATTGGTGGTTAAATATTAATAATAATTGCTTCAAAGGTTTGTTTCCACTTTACAACAATGAAAGAAACTTGCAACCGTTTGAAATATTTATGATAGATTACTTTTTAGTTCATCCACCATGTTATTACATCCATTTTATTTCATCAGGGGAACGAGTATATGACATTGCATTCTGGAAAAGTGAACTTAACAACGAGGTTAATGCCATGGCAACAGAAATTGAAAACTTGAAGGTAAACCAAAAATTAGAACAAACCTCCCGATGTCTAGCAGGTCACACGAAAAAATGTTTTTTTTTCTTAATTGTCATGGCAAAAATAAAGTTCACTCTTTCTTCATTTCTTCTTCATTTTCACAGTATCATACTTCTATGGTTATTGTAGTGGATTCTGGAAGAGATTGACAAGGGAGAAATTTAAGAAAAAATACATTACATCTTTTCTCTAGATATATATATTAGTAGATATTTCTAGAAGTAGAGAGTATATCTTCTGCAGATTTTTATTTAAAATAAAAGAACATTTGGATGGGGAATTTGTTGTTTTGTTTGGTCTCATATTCGATACTCAGTAGACTAAACTTTATAGTGAAATGAAGAATCTAATAAGGGAAAGAATAGTATAAACAAGGGGAGTCTCAGTTGTTTTTTATTAATAGTTTGACGATGTGCTCTCCTATTTAACAATTTAATTTCTGTATCTAATGTACAAAGGGGTTATGATAATGAAGATATACCATTACTATACTTGCACACTGCTTCCACTAACTCTTATATTTCTGCTTTGTTTATACGTGTTTCTGAATACTCTACTAATATTAATTACTCAGACATATTTTGCAATCAGTGTAAAAGGGAAAGGAATTTAGAATAAATTTTAATAAAAGTCTTTTTATGTTGTTGGGTATTTGGTAATGATATATATTCATATCATCAGGGCAGAGGTGACTGCTTGTTTTAAAACCTTCAATTAAATTTTGATTAAGGTACTAGTATACTTCGAAAAAGGATTTGCTATGTAAAGGGTTTTAGATTTGATACATTTTCTAACAATCAAATTAACATAATGTATAATTTCACAATGGAATTCTAGCATTATAAGGTTTTATCGTATTTGAACTTAACATACCTTTCACAGATTTATTGCCCATATCTACCATAAGTTCTGAAAAAAATGTTCATTCACGTTTTAAGAAAGTTCTAATTGCAAGATTCGTTAAAAAAAAATTGCAAAACATTCACTTTTACAATATATTTTACAGCAATTTGTTTTTTAAGCAATTGTAATGAAACAAAAGTTGATTTATAACTTTTTCTGTGATTGACATGGCAAAATTAAAAATAGATAGAGATGTCACATTAGTCAAAGTATACTTTTTAAATAGAAATGCACAAAAATATCTTATCAAAGAAAGGAAAAGAGTGATTTAACCTTAAATACATTATTTGATTATAATCGTAGTTTTTTCACCTTTCTTGAAATGATTTCTACATATCTTTTTCAAATTTTGCAAAATGATTAAATCTATCTTATTCAAGCAAGTGCATTAGAATCAAATAAAACGCCTGTTGTTTAAACCTTAGGAATACCGCCGTACTTTGGAGAAAGCTCTCGGGGACACTGCCAACCCTCTCCACATTGCCGAGGAATGTCTGATGCACCGTGAAAAACGTCAGGGAATCGACCTCGTTCATGATGACGTAGAACGCACACTCATCAAGGTAGGAACCGGAGAAAATTGTTGATATATATTAGATATGATTAAGACTGAATTAATAAAAAACATACAGTTCACATCCCCCTACAGCATTTCAAGAAAACTGGTTTAAAAAAGATTATATATATATATGATATAATTTTCTTCTACTTTGAATTGTTCATTTTTTCTTTCTTAAGTGAAGCTTATATATATATATATATATATATATATATATATATATATATATATATATGAATAATTTTCTTCTACTTTGAATGTTCAAAAAAAAAATGTCAATTGTATTTTAAAAATTACAATTTTTGAGAAGATCGTCTAAAATGCATCGATATCTGCTTTCAGGAAGTGGATATCATTAAGAAATGCCAGGCTAAGATGAAGAAGGTGTTGGACAAGGCCTACGTTCAACTGAAGATGAACCGTGCCGCCCAGCACGCCATGGAGATCGATGCCAAGGACAAGCACCATGCCCAGAACCTGGACGATAGGATGCAACAGCTCAGAAACTCCTCTGCAGGAATCGGTTACTTCCCAGGAATCGAGAACATTGATAACACGTATGTTTTGATCCTTTTTCTGGGTTAACAAATGGCGCATGGATGTGAACGTATTTTCCTGTCTGTCTTCGACTTAATTTGACCGTGTCTCTCTATAGTTGAATTTCAAGTTGAGTTATAATCAAATATTGAAAAAAAGAAAATATGTGTCGATAGCAGCTTAGATTTTCATTTTTTTTTTTTTGAAATTTGCTTCACTTGTATTGGTTTAAAAACTTCAAAATTCCCAAAAACAGGCATGTGTTAAACCGAAACATTGGACTGTTTTGTATTACAGAATTACTATTCCTGATTCTTGGGTGAGATATACTCAGGAGAATATCGCCAGATCCCAGAAAGAACGTGCTGCCTCCGAACGTCTGAGAGGTGAAATCGACAGCACTCTGCGAGCATGTGCCAACGAGATGTGGAACAACTTCAACTCCGTCAACAATGCTTACAACACAAGAATCAGAGAGACAACTGATGCCAGGAACAAACTACAGGCTCATTTGCAGAGAGTAAGATAGCAACAACAAAATATATAGGAAAAATACTCAATTATATGTCTACTTGTTTCAGAGGTATGTTAGTATTTCTATGTATTTCACTGGATAAATGGTTTGTTTTGCAGACTATGCAGGAGATCTTCGATATGGAGAAGAACATCGAGTTGCTGCGTAAGGCAATACAGGACAAGGAAATGCCAATGAAGGTGGCCCAGACTCGTCTGGATGAGAGAACTAGACGTATCAACGTGGAGCTCTGCAATGACCCAGTCATGAAATCGTACGTACAACTAGCTTTACAAAATGACACAGTTTAATTTTAAGTCATAATTAGTCATTTATTTCTTTAATGAGAAAATGATAACTGTTACATCATTTTTCTAATGTAATACAGTTTTGGAAGTTTGACTTCATAATGTTATTTTGCATTTTAACAGCTAACTAAAATACATGTATAAGAAGTATTGTTGACTGTGTAACATTATTTTCTAACAGACTCCAGAGAGAAGTAACCGAGATTAGAGAATCAGTCAGAATCCTCAAGGAGAGACTAAAGGCCTCTGAGCTCAGTTTAGCTCGCCTGATGAAGACAAAGGCAACATTGGAGCATGACATTGGAGTCAAAGATAACACAATTAAGATCGACCAGTCTTATTGTATGGGAATGCGCAAGGGTTTCCCCATGGACCCTAAAATCGGTCCAGTTTTTCAAATGCCAACATGCTAGGTAATTTTTAAAATATATTTAGGAACAATTATGCATCAACGTTATTGGACACCGACTTCAACTATCCAGTGAACCATTTCTAAAAATTATACTCTCTGTTATAAATCATGTATTATCAATAACATATCAATGTTATAATTGTTTTTAAAGGCGATCAGAAATTTAGGACATGTTCCTTTTGTTTCGAATATTATCAAAGTTAAAACTAATCTATCATGAAAATGCATAAGACATCTTGATTTGAAGTGATTTTCCTAGTTTGCTGTCTGAGATTGATATAAAAAGGAATACATTGTCCTAAATTTTCTAGGCATACACAATTTTTCAGACAATGATATGTTTGTTGTCTGTCATGATCTTTTTTTTATATTTCATTGTAGCAAATTCAATTTGCATTTGTTGTTTTTTTTAAATATCATTTGTTATGTGCTCATTGTTTTACATATGTGATATCGGTATGTTTGCCACTTGGAGTAATTTATTAGCTAATTAGATATAGTTCTAATTTAATTTTTTTTTTTCAATTTTACAACTGATCATTTAAACGAAATAGTATTTTGTTATTTTGCTTTGACTATCTAGTTTGTTTCTTTGGAATAATGAAGACAGTATTTTCCAGCTAAACGATTTTAATGTGCTACTGTTGTGTCTCTCAAATTTATACATTTGGGCAATCAAACAGTATTTACGATTGTTATGTATGTTTGTTAATGAAAATATGATATAGATATTTCTATTTATTGCCAATTTTATATTATACCACATATGTATGATTGTATGTTTCTGGGGTTAAGGATGTACTAATTTATCACAACATTTCAGAAAAATGCAAATGTATGAATATCAAATTCTTTGAATACCGAATCCGATGAAATTACAGGTGATTCATGAACATTTATTTATTTAAACCATATCAGTATTAAGGTGTTCTGCAGAGTATTAGTATTGCTCAAGGAGATTAATTCAGAGCCCCTTGCCATCAGTGACTGTGATAGGTGCGGTTGGTTGTTAATTTTTGTATATAACGTGGTAGCGCACACAGTAATGTAATGCTTATGTTGTTTGCACAAATAAAAAAATCTACATAAAAATTAGAATTGCTGTTCTTGTCTTCATTATCTTGTATTAATGGAATTAGTAAAATTGAGTGGATTAAAAATCCCTAAAAAAAGAGGAGATTCTTCAAAATCAAATGTTACTTTTTCTTTCAATGAAAATGAATTTTAATTAACATAATATCTCTTTTAAGTATTTTTGATATTTCTTTCAATTCAAATGAATTCGAGTTAACATACCTATACTTGATTTGATTTTTTTAAAAATAAAAACCACTGCAAATAAATATACCCGGTACAAAGCGGACTCTAGCAAATGCTCAACTAAGCCTATATTCTTACAACTCACCTAGATATCAATATAGCAGTGAAGGAGAAACTTCAGGAGAAATGTACAACAATATGCATGAGAAGTGTAAATCAGGTGTGAATTCTAAAAGAACCAAACGACAACATTTTACCAACAACACCAAAACATATTTTTCAACATTTCATACAGCCATTCTCTCAGGATAAAAATTAAATTCAAGGCTTTAATTGGAAAAAGACAGCTACTTTTTCAATAAAAATGGCACTCGTTAATTTACTTGCCTTGTCATCGGTCATTGGCAAAATTTGGTTAAAAGCATTTTGAGTGTACAATTTTGTATTCTGAAAATGATCTTGTGTTCTTGATAGAAAGTGTCTATGTACATTTAATTGTACATTTATAAAGAAAAGGTACATAAGAAATGATTTTAAAAATGTTCAGATTCCAAAGAAAAATGATGGTTTATAAGTTCTTTCAGTTTTGTTGTTATTTCTTGGATAAAATATGAAAATAAAAAAGAGAATCAAGCAAAAATCTAAAATACAAATTACTTAAACTTGTAGGTAGTCAGTCAAATTAATATCTGATGCAATTAGTAATAATTGAATTGAATGAAGAACTACGAAAGTGTTTTCAAAACTAAAATTAAAATGACTCAAACCCCCAAAACAATACTACAAGAAGAATTTATTTAATGTCCAAAACAGTGACATATTCCTCCCCAGCAGTGGGCACGGCCATGTTCACATGTCTCACAGGTATCTGCGGTCACGCAATCTACAAGGAAAGTTAAGAATTTTTACATTAATTATCATCAGGTAATTTCAAAATTAAAACTATGTGATAATTATTCACAAATACTAGTTTTTCTTGTTCTGTTATTTATTCTGATTACATTATCTTATCAAATTGCAGCATTGTTGTATTAGATCTTCATGAAGTGAGATAAGTGATACCCATTAAAGAACTAAGAGAAATAACTTCAACTTCCTGCAAGGAAGAGAGATAACTTTTTTAATTTTCTTTACTTACTTGTCCCGTCACTTTTGATGCACGTGCACTGACCATGGTAGCAGGCCAGGGTTCCGTCTGTACACTTCAGGGCACAATCAGTTGTTAGGTGGCAGGTTTCACTGGAAACTGATTGAAAATTTGTGAAGAACATTAGACATAAGCAAGAATTTCACAACAACAACCATGAAGACGCTACTGATTTTCTTTATACAGGTTAAAGTAAAATATAACAACGTGAAATCCAAAGTTTTTTCCCATGGATTTCACATTGATATATTTTACTCAAAATGATAAATGCACATTTAAAATAAAAAAAAATAAATGATACTTTAACCTGTATATTCATAATATATTATATCATTTCCAAATCAAGCGGAAAACAATGCAATGTACTTGATACCTTTTGTAATATCATAGAACGTTACTATGAAATAAACAATATGATGTTGATAATTTTACAAGAGTTGGGCATGATTAATTATTAAATGCTAGATTTAATATTACCGCATGTTATGCCGCACAGTAGAAAGAAAACCAGTAGCGTCTTCATGGTAAGTGTTTACTGCACAAAACAGTGTTTCCTCGAAATCTTATCAAAGCTAGGATGTCCTCTAGTCATGGAGGTCCACAAACGGAAAAAAACCTTCACCTTGTCATAACTATTACACCCTTTTGTCTCATGCTTTTTCAAGATTTGGAAATTCCCAGATCTTAATTATCGATATATATCAATTTCTATAAAACTGTGTGCTATGATAATAAAACAAAGTAAAATTTATTTAAATATCAATTTGAAATATAGTATTATTCTTATTATCTTGTTTTTATTTTAGAGGTCAACAGGGACATATATTTAATAATTAACTATGTTATGCATATATCAAATATGATCAGTTAACAGAAAAAGAAAACACCTGCAGTGGCCTTCAAATCGACATTAAGATATATCGAAGACGTATTATTAAATTCCATTCATTATTTATTCTATACAATATATCACAGAGAGCATGAAATAAAAGATACGACAGGAGCCGATCCATCTTTTACATACTAGTATTTGGAAGTACTTGAAGAAAAAAAAACCGTTAATGGTAACCTAACAACAAAGGTTCATGGTAAAAGTACATCTTAGCGAAGATGGGTAAAAGTATTGATTTCAACTTTTTAACCGCCAATTTTCCTGACTTGTTTATAGCATTCCCTAATCATATGCATATGGGGTTGATATCTTTCAGTTGATTCGATACGCAAGAGTATTCTCTACGTCCCATAAATTCCCGAAATTAGGTAAAGATTGACAAAAATATTGATAAAACAAAAAATATCAACCATCTCGTTTAAAGTCATCATTTCGCAAGTTCTATGAAGTGATTTTGTCAGCAAATGCAATCTTTCATTAAGTCAAATGCTGACTGACATTTTTTAAATACTAATTGATAGTTCATTTTCACAAACCGAATTCTGTACGTTTTTCTAGTTTTTTCCCAATCATAACAAAGAGAAGGGATACTCTCTCCACCACGATTCCACCTTTGATATTTTAGAGATCCCTGCTTCTTATGCTCCTGATTTGTATTTTTGACAGGACTTTTGAGCCGAATACTGATTGTCATATCTTTATATTACATTTACATTACATTTACTAAATTTACATAAAAACGTTCATATATTTCTTTTTAAATCAAGTAATCAATTAAGTTATTTATCAAGTGAAAATGAAAAGAGATTTTTAAGAAACATGTCTCCTGTATTAAAATCAAAGTCTTTTTTAAATTGTAAAAAAGAACTATTTGGTGAATTCAAAACAATGAAAAATAACATAATATATTTTCAAGAATATGAAAAGAATGTTTTAGATGAGCATCAACTGCAGACAAAATTATACCAAATCTTAGGTATAGTAAAAAGCAGGATGTTTAAATTTGCAAAGCGTTCTCAAATTTCTGAAAAATAAACACGAACTAATTTGTTCTTTTTCATTCTCCCGTTTTGACAGACTGTTTAACTTAAGGATTACCAACGTTTTGTTGTCATATTAAAATCAACATTTTTTTATTGTATAGATGCCGTTTCCTCTAATATTTTGTTGAAGAATAATTGAAATAAGATCATAGTAAACAAGTCCTAAACTAGTGAAGACAATGATGTGGTTCTTTTTATAAAACATTGAGTATAGTCTGACATATATTTAACAACATCCAGTGAGATTTTAGTTTTAGGTTCCCCACTCTTTAAACTGTTTGTTCGTTTTATTGTCTCCTACAAAAGTTTAAATGCTTGAAATCATGAAAAATGCAGATTTGCGTTTAAATGATAATGAGATGATGTCCAGTCATTTCAGCTTTTCGTTCTGCAATGAAAAAGGTTAAGCTTACAAATATCATTCAAGAAATATGAATTGTGACGAGAAAAAAAAACCAAGAAAAAAATCTTCCCCTGTCGACCAGAAAACCCGCTTTGTAAATAAATGATAAGGTAAATTATGTAATCCATATTGACAAATGGTCTAAAACAAATAACCTAACAATTCGAATGAAACGATGTTATTCCAAATACAACACTACTATGGGTTGTATTTGCAAACAAAGCGGTAACAACTTAACCTAATTTAGTGAAGATTTTCTTGGGAATAAAAGTCTTTTTTATTAACTAAATTTTCCAACCCCAATGGCCCACTTCCCGAAATAACGAACAGCGATCAATCACAAAAACATACAAATGACAATCCATAAGAGCATAAACAGGACATCCGGAGATTCCAGAGGTAGGATCAGGCGATTTGGAGGAGAAATCATCCCTCGTTGACTCTTCAGTCAAACCGAAACCCCTTTGTAATGATCAAGTAGACGGAACATTCCGTAAAAAAAAATAGTATAAAACGAAAGTCCTAATAATTTCAATATTTCATGGAAGAGTCAGCATACGACCGAATGATAGGTTATAATTGCTGTCAAGGTCTTTATAAGGGCAGAGAATTACAAAAATGCTGACTTGAAACGACATATTGCCTTCAATTTGAGTGTGAGTATCTAGTCTCGGTTTACAAGTTGATGGCACTTAGGTCATGCTCTTATGTAGCGAATATGTTGGAAAACATAAAAACCATATGCAGGTTATAATTGAAGATTACTACATATACTAGTTATATATAGTGTAAAGTGACGATGGGAAAGCTGAAGCCATCTCGTTTGTCATATTTTACTTTAGTTATTAGGTGGTCCTTATCGTCAGTAAGGCATCCATATAAACCATATATCCAGTAAAACATCCATATGTAATAAAAATGTGTCAGATTCTGTGGTGTCTTTTCCAAGTTCTCCTAAATATGTCTAGTCAACATCTGAAAAGGCACAAACATGAACTACATGTAATTGTTAATTGGAAAATGTTGTTAATATATCTCAATGCCAAAATTAAAGCCAGAGGCAGTGTTTTCTTTTTCTCGTGTAAAATCTTTTTAATAAACTCTGCTTTATAGGAATGTGAAGACACTTCTACTTATAAAGAAACAAAATTTAAACCTCCCAAAACCACAGGTCAAATGGAAAAATGGCCTTTGTGCTAAATGTATCTGACTTTGACCCAGGGATTACCTGCTTTAGACAAAGGTTATACGAATAAATAATTAACCTATATGTACCATTGATTGGGCTCTACTGGTATGCATTGAATATGGATACTTTCCTAATTTTCATTTCGTATTGAAAATTTTAAAAAAGCTAAATACAGAAGATAACCAATCGTCGCCGATAAATGGTCAATGGATCAAATATTTGTCCTACATTTCATTTTGACCACAGCAATACTAATATTGACAAATCGACTTGGTTTTACTAGAACACTACAAAAGTGTTTGCTGAGAACATTTGACGCTAAATCATGAATAAATAATATCAGGCCTTCATACACTATACAATTATTATTTTTGTTCAATGCATTTGCGTATTACATTTGAATTGTAACCTAATTCATGACACCATACAAAGGTACAAATATCTATGGCTCAATCATTACATCTGATGCCCTATATTGCAATGCACTTTCTATATGCAGTTTACGAATTTAGTTTTTAGATCTAAAGTTAAGTACATGTATGTATGCTTAAAGAATGGACATGCCTCTATATAAATATACATGAATGTTTTTGATTATAATTAGGGAATAAGATTGAGCCTTTTGGCAATAAAGTCATTTTTTTAAGTTCTTGCATTCAATTTCCAATGCAAGGCACTCATAACGTTCTTGTTATAACACTATCTGATGTTTCTGTTAAGTGACTGCATATCTTTTCCTTGTTTCTTTATATTGTACTCAAACCATTCGTTTGCTAGTCAGTTTTAAAAGTTAGGGATCAGTAACACATTACTTGACAAAAGGTTTGTCTACATTTGCTTATTATTCGCTGAATACGTTTAATGTCCGGAAAGATCACGCTGACACTGGATCTGAGTCAAAAAATCGGACGTACATGTACTAGTGCTTTAGACTCCGATCGCACGACCGTTAGTTTATAACGAGCGAAATCATTTTTGTCAGTTTCTCAAACTGTACGTTCGCATTTGTATTATACAGTACATATTCGTTACCAATTTTATTATGTCTATTAGTTGACCATAACTGATATGGTTCAAAATCGTTTTTTTCTGTCCGTTTCATACATGAAAACAACGAACAGCAATCACGCTAAGTCCATAGCCTCTTAAAACATCAGAAGTGGGACATGGCACCAAAGAGGAGCAAGCATCCCTCGATCGGTCACACCCACCGTGTGCTCCATGTTATGATCGGGTACACTGGGAAATCTGTAACAATTAGTATGAAGAACACCAGTCAGCATTTTATCTTATAATAGAATATGTTTGCTGACAATGTAATCTATCATAGAATTTGAAAAATGTTGATTTTAAACAAAACTGTTAATGACCTTGTTTCGTCAACTTATTCGTTCGTACCTTGCCTCGTTTAAAAAAATTGTTAATTCAGACACAAAATATGCTTTTGCGAATCAAATCAACTAGGAGGCATAAAATCCATATGCAGGTGATAATGATTTGTTGCTATATAGATAAGGGAAGTTTACGATGAAAAAAAGTTGAAGTCATCATGTTAGTCATATTAAATTTTATTGTTAGGTTACCATTAATGCCTTTTTCTAATAAAACATCCAAATATGAAACAGACGTGTCAGACTCTGTGGTATCATTTATTTTTGAGGGGTATATATTAAAAAGAAGATATAAATATCGATATTGTTTATAGATAAGAGGTCCTCAATACTTCTAGAAGTTGACTTAGAGGCCACAGCAAGTTATTCCTCAGCAATTTACTTCATATGAATACAAAAATAAATCTGTTAATAACGGGCCCAATTGGTCCCCAGGTATTTCCGACAGATTTGTTGGAAGATTGTCTCAAACAACTACAAAGATTTTGTCAATCAATCTTTATGACCTTTTAAAAATTAACTTCGAAGTACTTGTGTGCAAAGTGGCATAGGACGACATTCAACATTGTTTTACAAATAATATGCGTCTCGTCGCCCATATTCCGCTGCTTGGCGCTCTCCGGTAAATTGAGAGTAAGCCCTTCCGTTATTCATTTTCACTTCAAAGCGCACTATATTGGCAATAGTAAAATGATTCTATCCTAGTCAATGAAGATTTTAATCTGCTGATAAGGTCTAAAGAATAAATCTTATATTCTTTTATTACCCTCTAGCAATGAAGTTGGAGGCCTCTCTGTGCGGGTGGGTAATATTGAGTGAGTGTCAAACAGAAGAATGTTTGCTATGTATATATCTGTACTAGTCTAGCAAGTATCGACTTTATCTAGGCTGCAATTTTATATGGTAAATGAAAACAATTTCTTTAAGTAAAATCGCCTAGCACTCTTTATTCTATTCCAATTAATGTTGATACTACAATTAAAAGACAGTAGTTTTTATTCAAATTTCTAGCGTCGATAAAAACTAGAATTCAAAGTTATCTGGAGACCAATGGCGACCCTCCGTTTAGCCTTCGATCAACAAACAAACGCTGACCATCCAATGAAAATAAAATCCTCCCGAGGCTTTAAATGTACGTGAAACCAACCGGTTGTTCACAACTTACTTTCCCAAGCTAAGTTCGCACTATTTCATAATACCTGCAAAATGTCGCAATTCAGTGGAACATGGGAAGATAGAGAAATGGACCCAAGTATGGGACCATTTATGGATGCAATAGGTAAGTAAACATTGTAAAGAAGCCCTAATTGTAATGAGTACAAATATCTGTACTAATTTTTATCAGTATCTTTGAAATTGGTCCTTGTCTGATAGAAATTAAGAATATACATATGATCAATTTCTATAATGAAGACATTTTATACAGATGTTTATAGATACGTTAACATAATTATGATTCATGAATACGTTTATTTATAAAATGCAATCTTAAAATAATACATGATAATTTTCTCTGCATTTAGAAAAAGTCCTAACATTTAGTTTATTTGGAAACATTTCCTTGTAAATTATAACCTGACACTAATTCTGTAGGATTAACCTTAATCGAGAGGTACCCCTTGGCTTTGGAAAAAATGTGTGAAACACTATCAAGTTTAAATACAAACAAGAAAACATACATAATGAATGAGACGCCTTTTAAATCTTTATTTGGCAACTTCTTTGGCTACTTGATAAGATAAAATGAATTACTTCCGTTGAATGCTTAAAGCGTAATATTTTTTTTTTCAATTTAGGACTAGGAGAATACAAGGATAAATACATGGGGGCAAGATCAACAGTCACCTACGATATAAATGGTAATAACTGGAAGATCAAGTGGACCACCTCTCTGTACCCAGACAATCCCATGACCTACGACGTCCAGATTGGAAAAGAATTCGACGGAAAAGGCCCCGATGGTTCCGATGTAAAGGTATTCATTTTTTCTGCATAAACAAAGACTAAAAGGCTATATGAAACAAAATTATACGAATTTACTAAATATTGAGAAAAAAAGAAAATTGAGTATTAAATGCAATAAAACAAAGTAAATAGGCAATAGGAAGTTAAAATAAAAGTTCTATCAAATGCAGAATTAAAATTCATTGGTTCAAACATGACATGACATTTACATCCCATTTAGACAACTATAACAGTGGTCAGCGACTGTGAAACAAAGGAACACGAGGTCACAAATTTCGAAGATGGGAAAAACCGGGAATTCATCATCACCAGAAAAGTCAATGGAGACGTTATGGATGTTGTAAGTGTTTGTCATCTTAAGTTTTAATAAAGGGGTCTATCCATTTTCCTTTTCAAGGAGTGGTAGTTGACAATGGGTTAGGATCGGTTGTAGTTATAATTATATGTAGTCAGAACTATAAAAGTAATTGTTTAATTATGTTTTACTGACATCACTTATCAAGTGTATATCTGAACATTCCCATGCATGTACAGAGATAATATTTGACATGGGATTAATGTTTCAGCTTAATGGTTATTGCGTGTCTAAGAAAAGATTTGTCAATTTAAAGCGCAGAATCTTCAGCGTTTTGCTTCCCACTTTAACTATTTTAATTTTTTTTTAAACAAATGTAACTCCTCATAGATTCGTTGTACAGTTTATGTACAATATTTATTATATACTCGTTCAAATGTGCATTATTTTTAAAAAGAAATTCAACAAACACAAGAATAGCGATAATAGATGTGTTTTGTTGCTTTTCAGACCTGTGAAGCTGTAACGTCCAAGGCTACAATGAAAGGGAAAATGTACAGAAAGAAGTAATGAAATGACTTCGCCTTGCTTTCTCAATTAGGTACAAGCAAAATATCAAATTCAGCAAATAGAAGGCTTAACTAACGCCCGAATTGAAGCATCACAAAAATTAGAGCGATAGATGAAAACGGGTTCCTAGCCTAACAAGGATATTTAAAATTTTTCACACTAAAATCTCCGAGAATATTGGATGAATATTAACACATTAGGATTCCACTAACTAACTAACTAACTAACTAAAAAAAAAAGTGATGTGTGTAAAAATATTAAATTACTGAAAAGACGAAGTGTTTGTTTTTCTTGAAGAAGTTTTGTTAAATATGAAAGTTTGCAAACAGAAATTTACTTAGATCTTAATGTCTATTCTCAGTTTGCTTGTCTTGTTTGTCGAAATAATATATTTCACTGTTAAAAAAAGAATTCAGTTCTGAAAACTGAACATAAAAAGTTTGGAAGGAATATAAAAAGATTATTTGGTGAATTGCAAATACTGCGGCACCATCTTTAAGGGCAAATTAAAACGTCAATGATACAACTCTGTATGCTAAGAGCTTTATACTTTAAGAACATAAAGCTCATTGCAGATATAAAAATTAAATGAAGTGAAAAAAAAAATTTAAAAAAAAATTCAACAACTATGATTGCGATGTAAAAACTTTTAAGTGATAAAGTGGATGCTCATATACAATATTTAATTTTTGAGGCCCATTGTAACAGGGCTTTACTGACCTACTTTCTCACTGACAACAAAAGGTTTAACATTGACAAATTGACTCAGTTTTGTAATCAATACCACTATTTGCTCAGAACACAAAACATTCATCCAAAAGATAAACAAAACTGAAATTATTTCAAAATATAGTTAATTGATAGCTGTATAATATGTACAAGATCAATGAATTTTTTTTATATATATAGCTGTGTATTGACTTAAGGGGTAAATAAGGGATATTAGTATACAATTCTACAAAACGTACTCTACACAGTCAATATACTTATATTTTCTCTGTATATTTATAATATATTTCCACTGAAATATATTTTGCTTCATTAAAAGTTGAGCAATGATCTGAAAGATTTAATTTGTATCAAAATCACATTCACTTATCTTTTTTAATGAGATATCTATTACTTTTGATATATATTTCCAGAAATATTTCAAAATTTATTTACTTTAGCTCGAATTATTAAAATGAATATTTAATAAAACATATGGATATAACGAACAGCATTCAAGATCAAAAGTCCATAAAACAATACAAAACAGGAGCAGAGTCATGTCATGATCGAGAAATAACGGGAAAATCCGTCGTCAACGTCAGTCAGCATTTGACTCAATAAATTGTATTTGCTGACCTGGTCATTGTATCGACCATAGAACTTTACGGAATGATGACTTTAAACGAGACTATTGATATTCTTGTTTCATCAACTTGACTGTCAATAATTTACACGTTTTAGAAATTGTTCATACGTAGAGTATGCTCTTGTGTATCAAATCAAGTGAGATAAATAAACTCCGTATGCAGGTGATGACGGTATATTGCTGTATAAGTAAGGGAAGTTGACGATAGAAAAGTCAAAGTCATCACATTTATCATCGAGCTTTGTTGTTAAATTGCCATTAAAGTAAAATATCCAAATATGAATCAGGTGTGTCAGACTCTGTGGTATCTTTTATCTCAAGCTCACCAGGATTTATTGTATTGACATAAGAATGGAAATTACAATTGTTAATTGACATTACGTCGTCAATATATCTAAATGTCGAGTTGAAGGCGACAACAAGTGTTTTTTCTTCTTTTCATGCATAAGATTTTGAACAAATTCTGCTTCACATGAATACAAAAATAGGTCTGCTAATAACGGGGCGCAATTGGTACCCATGGGAATTTCAATAGATTGTTGGAAGACCTGGTCTCCAAAACCACATAGATATGGTCAATCAGAAACTCAAGCATCTTTTGTCGACTTCAGAGTACTTGTGTGTACAATCAGAATGTCTTTAACAAAATAATTTTGCAAATGACCAATGACAAGGTAAGTAAATTTATGAGTTCCATTTTTATTGAAAAAGCAGCTGCCAATTTACAAGAATTTAAAGACAGAAAGGATAATTTAATCAATAAGCCTCAGTGAACTATTAAAGTGAACTACTAAAAATATCAACCGAGCAATACCCGCTTGATAAAAGAACCCTGCTTCTCCCATCTTAATCATGAAACTTAATTAGTGACAAATCTGTGGAGCGTGGTTGTAAAAAAAAGTAAAGTTATGGCTTAGAATGCAACCTTCTAACTACAAAAACCATGTATAATTTTTTTTTCTACATTTACATGTATAATGTAATGTTTTAACACAACTTTGCTTCTATTTAATTTTCAATTGCATTATTTATTTTGAGTTTAAAAAACATGAAAAATGTTCGTAGATGGACATAAAAAGTATCAAACATGCGAATGTTTCTGCATGTCCTTTTAGCTATTCATAATTTAAACTATCGTTCACTTGACTAGCATTTAACACAAAACTCACAGAGAGATCGACCTTGAAATAAATGACTCACTCGTCCAGACAACACTTATCTAAAAGTTATCTTTATTTAAATTTTCAACCTTGTATGGATTTTTAAAAAGAAATTTTTGATCATACAAATAAAAACGTTGCGGTATTAGACAAACCGCTACATATTCCTTATTATTGGCAACGTAGTGATTATTTCAGATTATCAAAAATACGCAGTCTTTAAAAATTTTATACATTGTAATATCTATGTACAGTGTTTATAAAATGAAGCCATTTACTATCTGCCACTGCTTCATTTTGTCAATATATGTAATCCTTTTTACATTAAAAATATCGATAAAGTCGGATCAACGCGGATTTCTTATCCAGTACTACAAAACAATTTGCCAAGAATACAATGTATTAGTCATGTAGTAAAATTATAAATCGAGTAATTCTGTCTACACAATATTTTCTTTACATTTTCATTGAAGATTTATTTCTGAATTCCTTAGTATGGTGGAGTCGTTTTTAACGTATGGGAGAGTATATTTTCTCCGCCTCGGAGTCAGAAGAGATGAATGTCACGTTTTTTTTTTGGGCATACATGTATATGTAAGACGTACGTACCAAAAAAAAAAAAATCCCACGGAAGATAGCAATAGTTAAGCTTTGTCTAGGTCAATTGTCCAGCTACCATAATATTCTCAGACACTTCGAAACTATTCGACCGATTTCATATCTACGTTGATAGTGTGGTTAAAACATGCATGATTTGCACAATCTACGACTTGCATAGGGCTTCTGACATAAACGTTTATCTTTTGAATGCCAAAATTAAAACTTGACTAGACTTTACAAAGAATTTAAAATAATTCAGACATTTTCTCTTCAGACAGTAATATTTACGTAGATGGAGTCGTTTCTGGGAAAACAAAACGCACAATGGAGTGCAAAATAAAATTAAATATACTTAATTGGGGTTGGGTTTTTTTGTGTTTTTTTTTCATTCTGCCATTAACCTTTTTTAAACTTGTAGATATTGAAATCGATGTTTGGTTAATTCCTTTATAATTTGCAGTTACGACAAGAAAGATTTTTTCTGTGGCTTTATCACTACCAGAAAAAAATTGGCAATATACATGGCATTGAAATATATGGAGATAGCGAACAGAATTCAAGTTCAAAAGTCCATTAAATAATACAAAACCTCTAAAACATCAGAAGTGCGATCAGGTGCCATGGAGGATTGAGCATCCTCTGTCGAAAGGTCACACCCACCGTGTGCTTCTTGTCATAACTGGGGAGTAACGGAAAAAAATCCATCGACAATTCAGTGTGTAAATGATAATCTAACAATTAGTATGAAAAACGTCAGTGAGCATTTGACATAATGATAAATTTTATTTGCTGTCAATGTCATAGTATTGCCCAAAGAACTTACCAAATAATGACTTATAAAGGAGAGTGCTGATATTCTTGTTTCAGCAACTTGTTTGTCAATAACTTACCTCGTTTTTTTTTTAAATATTCATATGTAGTTAATGCTCTTGCGTAGCGAATTAACAGAGACCCGTACGCTGGTGATGAAGGTATATTGCTGCATAAGGGAAGTTGACTATTGAAAAGTTAAATTCATCTCTTTTATCATAAAGCTTGGTTGTTAGATTACCATAAACGTCCTTTTCAAGTAAATCATCTACATATGAAACAGATGTGTTAGACTCTATGGTTTCTTTCTTTTCAAGTTTACCTGGATTGTATATCAGCGGAGCACATGTGCTTGGGGATAGTACATAATTTACTTACTGAGTATATCATAAATATTTAAAAAGATCTCGAACCCTCACCTCCAACGATGAAAGCCTCTCCATAAAAATAACCACCGGTTTTGTAATATGTGCATAATTAAAAATGAGAATCATTTGGCTGATTTTTTAAATTGGTTATTATAAGCTCATTTGTTAGATATTTGGTATATGTTAAACAAAGAAAACGCCTCCGAATTTTTAAATTGGTTTTAAAAGCTCATTTATTGAATATTTGGTATATGTTAAACAAAGAAAACGCCCATGGAAACGCCCACGGATGTAGTAATGAAATGCATTGTGGGATATTGTTCTAATGTTAACAAAACATTAATGAATTCCTAATTATTGAATTATTCTTATATGAATAAGGCTCTAATAACGGTTTTGTACATCACACCTTCATTAACTAATGCATCATTAACAATTTAATGATTCATTAAGCTTAAAAAATAAACCGGTGATATAACCGGATCCCGGTGATTATGCAATACTATCCTAGGCTAAACAATATTCAAATCATGGCACTGATTTAATATATTAAATGATTCATCTATGTTATCTTTAAAATATAGACTGTGCTATCAAATCTCTTTTAGTGTTTGAATTAAGTATGGAATAAACAACAACAACAACAACAAAACCAAACAAACAGAGAGAGAGAAAGAGTACAAAATTCATTTATTGCAAAAGTGTAAATGTTAACAAAATCTTTCAGATTTGTGCATACAAATCTAGTTTAAACTCTAGTACGTTTAAGGTAAGTCAATCGTCAAATTTGTTAAATCAAGGATTTTTTGGGAAGTATATTTTGGATAAGTACTCATATAGTATGACTCAAAATCGCAGAGAAAATAGGGGGTCAGTGTGCATCTTTCTGATCTATGGTACAATTAATTTGACCTTTTTGCACTTAAATTTTAACTCTTTGTTTTATTACTTTATCTCTAATTTTATTTTATCAGATGTTACTA